GTTTATTAACATATTAAAAACATCACTGAGCAGTTATATTTTCTTTAATTTTAAATGATAGTTATGAGTTAGATTTATTTTAATCAGTTTATTTGAAATTTAAACATTTAAATGAAAATTCCTTTCAAAGTGCTTGTCTTGGTGAAAGAGAACATGGTTAAAAATTCTGCCAAGACCCACCTGGAAATCATCCAGTATCTGTCCATTCTGTCACTGAAATTATCCTTTTATTCCGTGTCAGTGCCTGGTGTCCCCACTCAGACTCCGGGCTGGCTGGCTGTTGCCCCAGCAGTTTCTGGGGTGTGCAGGTCTACCTGAAGATCCTGTTGAATTTTGATGGCTCAGGGTAGTAGTATTAACATTTCCACTTTTGCCGTGTTCCCCAGGAGGCAGATGCACACTGCATGGGGTACAGAATCTCTGTGATTGAGAGCATCAACATGTATCTCGTTATTGGAATTATAGAGCATTTTCATAAAATAATTTCAAATTTTGTGACTAAATTGAGGACTCTTCAAGACTAAGAATTAAAACTCTTGGATTTTGCCTTCTAATTCATGCTTCCATTCTTAGACAACTATGCAGCACTGACAGAGACATTGAAAGCTGTGTCTCATCTTGGTTCCATTCTCCAGTCTGTCTTTTTAAAAATTTGTTAGTTTTCTGTCCACGACAATTATCTTATTGCCAAGCTTGCCTGACACAGCATGACCCCTGCTCCACCACTAGGGCCCCATTTCACCTGCCCCGGCTCTGCCTTTTATCTACCTCTCCTCAGTTCTATCTTCTGTTCTGTGATCACTTCTATTTTTCTTTCTATATGTTCTCCATTCTACCTGTGTTCCCTTCCAGCTTTCCAGTTTTCTGGTACACTGGGGCTCAAAGAGACTTAAAAGTTGGGCTACTGAGAGTTGAGTGAGGGGTTCATGAAATGGGGGTTCAGATGAGGTATTCAGGAATGGTGTAAAGCAGGACCCTAGTCTACACAGATCAGGGGCTCTGAAAGATTTTTAAGGAGGAGAAGATAGGAAATGAATGGCTCCGGGCAGGGAGTGCTGTTTTGCAGGGCTGGTTTTCAAAGTAGTAATATGTTTTCTGCTTTTAATAGTAACATAGGTACATTCTTTCCCCCCTAATGACTAACTAGGCTTTTTTACCCCCTACTCATTTGTGTTTGTTTGTTCCTATGGTATTTATGCCTTATATACCCAAAATGTTTATGCATAATTACCTCCATTTTTTTCTTCAGCTGTTTTCTCATGTTATTACAGTATCATATTTCTTGATGAATGTTTAAGATTTGTATAGTTTCATCATAACACTATGATAGGATTGCTTGATTTAACAAAGAAAACTAAGGACATTCACTTTATTTTGAACTTCAAGCAAACCACAAATATTTATGTGTATATAGTAGTTATTTATTTTTTCTTTTTTTACCAGACGTGATAAATTAAGGTGAGCTTTCCTGTATTTTATCTTGCAGTCCTACAAAATAACATCTTATTTACACATTTCTTGTCTTGGACACATATTTTCAGTGATGCAGAAGACATTTTGAGACATAAAATTTCCTATTTTGAAATACTTTTTAGGTGGGTTGTTAGAAGTAGAATTACCAAGGAGATGAGTGTTTTTTTTTTCCTCTCTCAAGACTTTTCAAACCTATCACCAAATCGCTTCTAAAAAGGTTATAGCAATTGATGCTCTCACCAACAGTGTTTAAGAGTCCTCATTCTCTGTACCCCTTCTAACACTATCATCACTTAAATAGTTATTTGCTATTTTGGCAGACAAATAATGATACATCATTTTCCTCTTTGACTACTAATGAGGTTCACATTTTTTGTTGTTGTTATTTATTAAGTATTCAATGTCCTGGTTCTGAGTTTTCTGCAAAAGGATCCTATCTTATTATGTCCCTGATTTGCATTGCTTTGAAGTCATAGGAATATGCCTTATTTTTATTTAGTTAATTATTTTTATTCAGAAGTTGGGGTTGAAGCTCAATCTCCAGGCTCATGTTCTAAGATGAGCTTTGCAAAATGGCTTGCCACCAGCCTACCTGCCAGCCTACCCATTGTTTAAAAATAAAAGCTTCATGTGATTCCTGAATGCATTTAAAATAAATCAATTAAAGCATAGAGTATAGTAGTTTTCTTCTGAGACTGCAGGATTAAATTTTTCTTTTCACAGTTCTCCCCCATTTTTGTTCCTAATGTATGACTGGTTTAAAATACACTTCTATAAATATTTCTGTATCCACCCTTATAAACCCACTACCACAGAGTATAGGGCTTTGCTGTTTTCATGGTATAGTACTTTCCGTATAGAAACACCAGTTCCCCAAGGATGGTTCTCCAAACCCAAAGGACAGTGAGAGAATAGGGAGCACTTCCACGAATTTCCACAGGCCCATTACCCCTTTTTAGTGGTCCAAGTCCACTTTAGAAAAGAGCTGAAATAACAAGACTGGCTTCCTCTAAGAAAAGGAAAGAACAGGACAAATTGCTTTTGGCCCATTTCCTTAGGTTAAGTAAAGAGGGCATGTGCTTTCCAGGCAGCAGTCCTCTAACTCACAATGATGATGACCGATCCTTGGCCCTTGCTGGGCCTGCTTTAATTAGTCCTCATTGTTGTTAAATAAGGGGGCACTTGACTGCCTTCTCACTGACATGTCTACCCAGAAGACTTCCCAGCTGGCCATTTAGTATGTATTCCTCGTATTTACTTTATGGATATTCTCATGTCTTTTCTGTTTCACTTTTGGTATCCTATCAGTTCCCCTATTCTTTGCCTTGCATGAATTTGTTGGCAGTGCATGACAATTTGCTCCCTAAATTGGATCCGTCCCTGTTATCTGTTCAAGTACAGGGCCTGACCCTGAATGCATGGGCTTTTCTCATTTGTGTACTTGATGCTCATGTCTCAGCATTCTCAAGATGCCTCAGGAATCTTTATTTTCTATTTTCAATTTGATGTTTTAAATTAGATACAGTGCTAGATACATGGTGATTATATATAGGGACTATATTTATGGGGATTATAAATAGCTGACTTGATAATTTCAGTGATTCTTATGCATAAGTCTTCATTGTTGACCTCCTTTGGCCTGAAAAAACTACAGTAATTTGAGTACCTACTGGGTGATGTGGGATGCCATAGGCTACTGCTTCTTTTAGAAATGCTCTTCATCTCACAGGGAGAAAACTGAATGCATTAAGTTGGAATCTGGGGCATAGCATCTTATGAGCCTTTCTTTTCCATCCTCTTCCAACTTTCTCTGATGCCTGTAAGAATGGATAAAGGGAGACTTCAGCTTGTGCTGGTCATCAACAATCTTCTCCAACTTCTAGGAGACAAAATTAAAACACACATCTGGAGAAGAGGGAAAGAAATTAGGTCAGCCACTAGGTACTTGGCTTGTAGCCTTGTAGTGCTGGTTTCACATGCAGCTTTCCCAGGTATTCAGAGGGCGAAACCCCTGTTGTATGGAACAAGAAGACAGTTTCCTGTGATCGAAAGAGGCTTTGGTTCTTACAGCCTCAGCACAGCACCTGATCAATACATGTTATTCAGGTGATTGTCCAGCACAGTTATGTCATGAAGAAGAGGGTATAACAAGGCAGCTGGTCTTGAGCCTGATGGGATGCCAAATATTTATGCATTTCAAAAGTTCATATTCATAAATAGACATTTTATCATTTTACTAATCATCCCTCCAGTGCAACGCAAGTATTATTTAGCTCTTTTCCTGAACATCACCAACTTGGAATGTAAATCTCAGCAATTATCATCATTCACAGATAATTTACATTTCTGGGCGAATGGATGATACCATATCATCTTTATTGTATTTGTTCAATTTGTGTAATGCATCCTTTGAGGACTCATTTGGAAGCATGTATGTGTACTGTAGATAGAAAATGCATTGAAGAAAATATTGGACTTTAACATTTTACAAAAGACATTTAGACACTCAAATATATTGCTGCAAAAGGTAAAGTTAGTAAAAGAATGCAATTTGGGAGCTCATTTACTGGAGGAAAAAATAGCGATACATCCCACACTGTGTGTTACCCTATAATTCTATCAGACTCGTACTGGCTTAATGGGAGAATATATATCCTGTGTTTCTTAAAATGTCATTAACTTAGGAGTACATGTTTAAATGCAAGACGGTCTCTATAGTATTGTTACCCACAGCCTTACAATGAGACATTGCAGTTAATAGCAGGAAGACAGCCATGAAATTAAACACTTTTAGAGACACATGCACACACATGTATGTGCTTAGCTGCTTTGGCCCCTTACTTTCTCCAGATTGTAATTTTTTTTTTCCTTTTTCTTCTTTTCCCCTCCCTCTTCCTTTTCCTTCTCAGTCAGCTCTCTCTGGGTATAAGAAATTCCCATCTCTCTCACTTGACATTCTGATGAGGCTGCCTCTCCCCCCTCCTCCATGCTTCTTCAGGAAAAGAATTGGACCATAACTCATTGTGGAGTCAGTGGTGATTGCTTCTAAATTGGCCATGGGGGACATGGGCAGATTTTGAGAAATAAAAGACCTCTCTTTGCATGGCCCAAGAGGACAGGCTAGGCACACATTTCACCTGATAATAAGGGACACAACTTTCTAAAAGAGCACAAAACATGAGTGGTGGTGATTTCAATCCTATCTTTAGTTTTTGTATATTTAGTTTAAAAATTCAGAGCTTATTTTTGTAGTCTAGACAGCCTTGTGTCCAGAAGCATTTAATGCATCTACAGCAAAAGAAATACAGTTTTCTACCCTTCTCCCACTCCCAAAAAAGTCCTGAGGTTAAATATAAGCAATGTCTTATATTGCTCAACTGAGACCAAGGTGTGGAGGACTCAGGGCTCCCAGCCCAGGCCCCATTATCTCTCCCTGGCAGTGTAAACACCACACTCTCAGTTACAACAACTTTTCTCCTTAAGGATTCTTTGCTCCCCATCTAATTCTATCTTTGATCCATTTGCAGGGCAACTTTGTGGCTTGTATGACAGCTATTTTACGACAGATGGAAGATTATCATTATGCCCACTTGATCAAGACATTTGGAAAAATGAGGACTGATGTCGTGGTGAGTCTCGTTTTATGCATTTCATCTACTAGAGTTTGGAGCCAACTTTATTAGCAGTGAACTTGCCTCTGGTTGATTTCAGAAGACGCTTAGCCTACACAAAGCCTTGTTTCTAACAAGGTATAGTTCTTGACTGCAGAATTAGAATCTCTCACTGCTCTGAAGAATTATCCCAACTGGGAGTCCAGAGAAACCTCTTATCTTTTTGGTCACAGTGTCATCTCTTGTACCTTGAGGTCATTACCAGGTTAGAGATGTTATTTGGTGACAGCTCATTAACTCCTGTCATTTGTAGATTAACTTTCCATAACAGAAGCCTGAGGATTTTTATGACTTTAAACTGCACTCCATTATTTTTGTTGTTGTTGTTGTTTGTATGTTTTTGTTTTTTGATACAGGGTATTGAACTCAAGACTATGCGCTTGCAAGGCAGGCACGTATGCCACTGAGCTAAATCCCCAGCCCTTTACACTCCATTATTAATTAGCTTAAATCATGGATGCTCATCAGCATTTCTCCAAATAATTCTGTGGTCAACATTAGTAAAACTATGATACAACTTAATTAGGAAAAGTACAGTAGGGGAAAATTTATTGCTTAGGAGCTACCTCCCTAATGACCAAAAATTACATTACCATATGGCAGATATGCTCAGTAAGGCTACAGCCAAACTTGTTGGCATGGTTCCCAATCACAAGTTGACTTGAACTCTTGGATTCCATTTCTAAGGACTCATCAGCATCTCACAGATTCTTGTGGAATATACCAAATTGTAGTATTCCAGAATAAGATTTGTTACACTAGATAGAAAGATAGATAGATACATTTCTAAGAACAAAATGAATCCATATCTAAAAATCTTACCAATTTCCTTTAAACAAAAGGCAGCAAAAATGTGTGTCACCTGCTGGGCATGATGACATTCATCTGTGATCCTGGCATTTGAGAGGCTGAAGCAGGAAGATTGATATGATTTGTAGGCCAACCTGAGCTACGTAGTGAGTTCAAGGCCAGCCTAAACTGCATAGTGAGACCCAGTCTCGAATGAAAAAAAAACTGAGGATATACGAGGATATAGCACCTGCCTGGCAAGTGCAAGGTTGTGAGGTCGATCCTTGGTTAATAAACAAACAAAAGGAAATGTTTTGTATATTTGCCAGTGTGTTTCATTTTCTGAATATTAATTGGCAGTTATAGTAGAAGCATATGCAAATATATAACATATACACATATATATTTCATATTGTATAATTCTCTTAAAATACTGGCATATTAAATTAGATTTTACATTTATTAGCATTAAAAACCTTAATTGAAGCTTAAATATTTCACTAGGCTCAGCCTTGGTCAGTGGAAAGAATATATGAAGAATTTCATAGATAACATTCTAAGCTGAATAATAAAGTTTTCTGAATGAGAAAAATTACCCATCCTGAAAAGTAAAGACTTCAATTAATAATTTGACTTTATCAAAACAGTCACATTGTCAAAGCCTCCACAGGCAAAAACTGTTAAAAACATCTAATCTAAACCATTAAATCATAGGGAAGCTTTAGTGTATTGTGAAAAGTGACTGGATAACATGATGTTTAAAAATTACTATAATTCACTGAATTCCAAGTGTGTGCCTTCTCTTCTTGCTCAGAGCAGCGAATCAGATATATTTATTCCATGTTGTAGTCCTAGTTTCCCAAGAAATTCTTTTCCCTTATACACAGCAGTTTGAAAATCAATTATTCGCAGACAATTTGATTTCTATTATAAAATGGCATTTCTGATTTGGATATCTCAAATTCATACTGCAAGGAGAGTAAACCTTTTTTGTTGTTAAATCTGTCAGAACCTCTGTAAAATATGTTCCTATTCATTGACTATAGGTAAGGCATTTGACTACTTTTATATTCTGATAACTATCAAAAAGTATGATCATTTCATGTGAAATAATTGGGAGTTAATTAGTATTTAAACATGAAAATACCCTAAACCATTTCTGAATATTTGCTTCCTTCTAACAAGCACTGGACTTCAGGTTTTCAAATTTATCACCTCTAAGTTTTAGTGAGTTTTTTCCATTTTAAAAAGTCACCACTGTTATCAGCACCAAAGTGATATGCATAGAACTATTACTTTTGTAGCTCTCAAATGTCCCTTGACCCCAAGACAGTGAGAGCATAGGTGGGAAGACTGATCCAGAACAGAATCGCAATGACATGGTCCACGTGAATCTCCCTCACAGTAGAAGCAGTCCTATCTCTCCTTTCAGAGCCACCCATGATCTTCTGACTCTTGTGCAGTAGAGACACTGACTGCCCCATGATGCTGCTTGTCCTGTGTCCAGGACTCAGGGTCAGGAAGGGGAGCAGAACACCTTTCTGCAGTCAGCTCTGGGAACCCTTTTCAGACAGCTGTCTTGGTCTCCACAGCTGGATGTTGTCTCTCCTCTTCATAGCAGCTTACCCACGCTGTCCCAATTTATCGTCAGCCTGAACTGTGGCAGTTCAGGTTGGTGTGTGACATGCAGGATGTGGCAAGGGAAGGTGCTCGTGGGGAGTGTGAGGGAAGGAGTATGATAGCCAGCATTGTTTTGCCTAAGAACTAGTCAGCTGTTGAGGCATGCAAGCTATTAAAAAGGCCTCAGTTCCATGTGGACCAGGCACCAAAGAGTGCTGTGCTAGTGCTGGTCTCCCTATTGTGGGTTTATCACCATGGCTGGGAAAAGGAGCCAGTCTCACTTACCAGCTTCTTTACTGCTCATGACCATTTCCTTGTCAGTGCAGCTGCTTGCACTGGTCCGTGAGTCTAGAGGCTTCACTCAGTGGCAGTTTACTCATGACAAACTGTGTCAGCACCCCAGAGAGCCAGCACAGGCAGACCTACCTCTCAGAGCTCCACGGTCCAGTAGAGACTCTCTCAGTTAGTCAAAGTCCTTCCAATCCACCAAAATCATCTTCGCTCTGAAAGGATGGCTGTGCCAGCAGGCAGGCTGGGGTGACTCAGTGCTTGGGTTCCTTGTAGGCAGAGGGGCAGATGGTGAGGGGAAGTGGCACCGCTGTGACTTGTGCTGGAGGCAGGAGGGTCCCTGGTGTAGCGTGTGGAGAGGGTTTGAGGTACCACAGCACTCATAATCTCCTCTTAAGCCATGCTCAGAAGTTTTTTTTATTCTTTGTCTGCTTGGTTGTTTTCAACCACTTTCTTTTTTTCCTAATTATTTAAAAATTATTTTAATGTATTCATTTGATTTATTTTTGTGAAAATAGGGATTGAACCAGAGACCTTTGCAGTGAACTACTTAGGTTTCCCTAAGTGGCCCAACTGTCCAGTCTGAACTTGAACTTGTGATCCTTTGGCCTCAGCCTCCCAGAGTACTGGGATTATAGGAATGTACCATTACATCTAACTCGCACATTGTTTGTTGTTGTACTGAGTAAACTTATTTTGAGATCATTGTAGAGTTTTACATGTACCTATAGGAAATAACAGAGTTCCAGGTATCTTTAACCAGTTTTTCCCATGAGTAAAATCTTATAAAACTAACAGAACATCAAAACCAGAACTTTAACATTGATGTAATCCACCTAACCTAATTAAGATTTCCCAGGTATTATTTGTATTTTTTCAGATACAGGAAAGCTGAAAGAACAGTACAGGCAAACGGTTAATCCTGTCACCTGAGTTTGCAAGTGCTTCTGCATAAGTGCATCTTCTGCATACCTCAGTGTGTCTCTGTCTGCACAACAAATCTATGAAGATGAGATGCTTCTCTCTATGGGGCTCAGCAAACATCTCTGAGAATGAGAACATTCTTCAGAATTCTTACTTTGAATGGACAACAGTCCTCTCATAACACTGGATTCAACTTTCCTTCTTTCTCTCCTTTCACTAGCAGCTTTCTTAAATCAGAGTTGCATCTAGATCAGCTTAAACCATCTGCTGATTTGAGTTTATGTCTCTTTATGCTTTTCTTTTCCTGAAATAAACCCATCACCTTTCTTTCTTCCTTTCTGCATGGCATTGTTTGTTTATATTTTTGAGGGTGAGATCAAACAAAAGCTTGGCAGACTACCCCTCATTCTGGATTCTTTGAGTACTGCTTCATGATATCTTTCAACTGCTTTTTTTCTACCTACCTTTACATATGTCCTGCATACCAGAATTTTGCCCTAAAATTCAAGTTCAACTTTTTGATAAGAGTATCTCAGAACACTGTCGATGTCGAACACTTCTTTATGTCCAGTCAGGAGACTGGGAATGGTGTGTTGACCTGTGCTGCTGTTTGACCACTGGGTTAAAATGTGGAAACTTCCAGATCACTCCATTGTGAAGAAACACACCTCTTTGCAATTTTCGAGTGATCTTTTGCTGGAAACTGATACCCATGGAAAATTGACAGAGAACACACTCCCCAATAGGTTTTCATCAGATGGATGGAATATCTATTGATAGACGTAGTCTGGAAATGTTATTCCTTTGGCATGGCAGAATGTCTTTATTCTGACCATCTACACATTTTATCTTTAGTCTAAGAAAATTGGGAAGCCATTATAAATGTGGTTTAAGTGCAAGATTGGGAGAATAATCGAAAAGCTCCCTCTGAGTGAAGTGAGGGGATAAAAGGGCAAGAATGGACATAGTAAATGTCCTGGAGTAGATGCCTTAAGAGTTTCCTGTGGCAGTCCAGGTACAAGAACATGACTATTCTTTTGAGATGATGCAGTTAGGAATGGAGTTAAGCTGATAGATTTCTGAGAAGAATTTGCCTCTGGAGTGCACTGATGGTTACTGAGCTGCCCGCTTATTATATAAGAAGCTCTGTGTATAGTCAAACTAAAGTATTCGACAGGAAGAAAATGTGTTTTGTGAAATGATGAAATTTTCACAAAATATCTCTTGCTGTATTGAAGGTCTCAGTATAAGTTTGTGAAGCCTCATCATCCATGCAGGGCAACTGCAGTTGTTTGGACCACCATGGCTAGTGAATCATGCAGCCCCACAAGGAAGCCTTGCAAATCTCATCTCCCCCTGTATGCAGCATTTTGTTTGATCAGCAAAGTCCCAAAATTTAACAGCTGAGCCATGCTAATGAAGTATGGGACTGTGTCTCCTAGAAAAGAAAAGGAGCTGGGGAAAAAATGCTTCTCCTCTAGAATAATGAAAAACAGACCCTGCATCTCAATTATTAGGCTTCAAGGAATGATCAGCAAGAAAGCCAGAAATTCTATGCAAATAGAAATGTGGCTAAATTATAGCACTCAGCAGGCAAAATGTGCAACCTGGTCATCAAAACAGGAAGCTCTTGTGAAAATAGGAAAACTAGGTAGGGAAATACGAATTTTAAAGAATAAAATGAGCAAAGAAGAAGCCAGTTGTATATAAGGGTGCCCCCAGGTGCCTCTGCTTCTCAGGTCTGAAGATTACAGGACTCATGGGCAAGGTTTGGAAGGCAGTTTTGGCCTCTTGTGTCAGAATTGAACATCTACCCCAATTTTTCTTTTGGCCTTGTCAAGGTCCCTAAACTTCTTTCCTGGCCTGGAGGCCTCCCTTGTAAAATGGTAATCAGGGTCAGTTGCTCCCTGAGTTTTATTTCTGGTCCTCACACTAAACTCCTTCCTCCCCAGCAGATATGACTTAAAACAAACCTGTCTGGCAGTTAAGACTGCAGAGAAAGTATGGTACCTTTAAGAATTATCTGACAGTCATCAAATTTAACTTGTATTTCTTTGCAAAGTGGTGCTGGTGCAAACTTTGCCCTGGGAATTGCTTTCCTGGCTGCTTAAATTCCTTTCATCACCTTGGCCTTTACAGCCATTGCACCTAATTATGATTCAGTAGATTAAATAAATGAGAAATATCCACTCACTTGGTAACCTGTGATCACAGCCTTATTTTTCTAAGTCACTTCTGTTGCTTTTTTCTTCCCTTCTCAGCCCTCGAGTCTACGTAGGTTTACTGGAGATGTGTGTTTTCCTAGAAAAGCACAGAATAAGTGGCCAGTCCTCCCTCACAGAAGTTCTCCTACTTTCTACAGGCACACAGGGAGCTCCTAGTATAGGGTATCCCTTGCAGATGCCAAGAACATTCTATCTGCGTGGAAGGAGGCGGGGCAACAAGTCGTTCATTGAACCTTATTGTCTTTTCAGTAGAACTGAGTAGTATAGAGAAATTACCTGTGAGAAGTTGGAGCCATCACTGAGCTCCTTGGCAGGGATGGAACTGCCACATTGAAAAGTTTGACATAGAAGCCACATGTTCACATGTTTTATGTCATGTTGCATATGTGCAGATGGCCAGGATATGCCTTTTTTCTTAATTACATAAGAAAAAGGAATGAATTGTACTATGACATATTCAATATGATGGGAACTATTCAGAATAAGAAATGGATTTAGAGTAAATATAATAAAAAGCTACAATCTACCTGTCCATTAGGCTTTCCTTATAAGCATGTTTCCTTATAAACAGAAAGGATTCTGTAACCTTTAGAGATGGACCTTTTTTAGAAAAACTGTTAGGGAGATATACCCAAGGACTATTTCAAAACATCCTTGAGAAAGCCATCTCAGCTAAGAGGTGCCTAGACAATCACAAAGACAGATTTAATACACAGCTTTCATGAGTACATCTTCATTAGGTTTCAGATATTTTCATTCAGTTAAAAACAATGGAGTCTTTTATAATCTCGACATCATGCCTTGTTAGGGGTGGGTCTAGTTTTTCCCTTTTTCTTGGTGCACTTTTTCAGTGTTGTATTTTTTATTTCAGGATTTTCTGATGGAAACATTCATCATGTTTAAGAACCTCATTGGGAAGAATGTCTACCCTTTCGACTGGGTGATAATGAACATGATGCAGAATAAGTAAGTACAAGGGACTCACTCTCACCTCATTCGTCTCTGGTGGGAACAGTGATGTGGCCGCGGTACGAAGGTGACCAGTATCATTCCCTCCATGAGCAACTAGTTACTGGGGTAATGGATGGGGAGACTGTGGGAATTTTTTATGCTAATGCAGAGCTCCTGCACAATGCACACGGGCCCTGTTCTGAGAGAGAAGCACTGTGAACCAGTATGGTATAGTAGCTTCATCAGCCTAATCATGAACAGAGAGACACTGTTTCCCATCAACATGCCATCTTCTTCTTTTTTTTTTTTTTTTTTTACTTTTTTTAATTTGTTTTTTAACTTTTATCGGTACCAGGGATCGAACTCACGACCTCCTGCTTGCAAGGCAGGTGCTTATGCTGCTGAGCTAAGTCCCCAGCCGCCATGCCATCTTCTTTTAACCATGTTTTTATTAGCTGCAGTGATTCTCTGCTCTATGCTTGGCTTTTAAAAGTCTTTGCATTTTTGCATATTTCAGATTTTTTAAAAATTATGAGCATTTTCTCCATACTTATGAAATATTCAATTTGTGTTTTGCTTATCCTCTCCTTATGAAGGCTGTTGGTTAATATTCTAGCTCTGTGGGTTTTATAGTTTCTGTAGGCTCCAATGACGATCATAGTCTTGGCAAGTGCACGAAGTTTTTAGTTGAATTTTCTTTCTACCATTTTGGTATTTCATTACTGCATTTTATGAAATAATCATTAATTTTCAATGTACTTAAAAGGAAGAATGAAGGTATCATATATAAACCTTATTCAATATTTTTCTGTGAAGACATTGCAAAACTATAATACTACATTAAAACCAAAGAGTGGACTATGACTAGGTCACCAATCTGTACCCTTTGATTTAATTCTAAAATGTGTTCTTGTGTCTACTGCCACCGTCAAGCTACTGTGCAACTGTTACCATGTCACCCTTCTTACCCGTTTAATAATAACATTTACCTTTCACCTTCATCAGCCTTAATCTCTGGGGGTCACTAATTTGTTCTCTTTTTCTAAAGTATTTCTCATCTCAAAAATGTTGCAGGAGTGCCGTTTTATACTAATTAATTTTCGGAGTTGTCTTTCTATACTGTGCTTAATTTCCACCATTTTCATATATCCATAGTTTGTTCCTTTTCATTTCTGAGGAGTATTCGATGTTGTAGTTTGGTCATGATGTGCTTAAACATATCCCTCTTGAGGGATGTGTAGAACTACTATAAATAATAGTGCTACAAATATCTATGCTCAGATTTTAGAGTTAGCACAAGCCTTTATTTCTGTGGCATATACGCAGAGGGCTACAAATGTTATTTTTTATAGTAATTGTACATTAAGTTTTATAAGAAACTATCAAACTATGACTGTACCATTCTATATTCTGACCATCCACAGAAGATGGATGCAGTTGATCCACATTGAGCCCTTATAAAATTTTTTTGGTTTAGCCATTTTGATAGGTCTGTATTGTTTCTCTTGGTATTGTTAAAATTTTATTTCCCTGATAAGCTTTGTATCTTTTAAATGCCTTTTGTCCACCCCATATACAAGTCCATAGCAGCAGTTACCTTTCCGATGGTGTCTTCTGTGACACCAGGGATGACACTGGCCTTGAGTTTCACAGGCTATGGGATTCTTAACAGGCTTCTATCAGGGCTAAGCATGAGGCAGCATCTAAATCAGATGCTGCCATGATTGAATCATCTTTCATATGAAGAGAGCACGTTAGACCAAAGTAAAGAAGCCGAGGAGGGTTGGGCATTGCTGGAGATTCAGCGCTGGCCTGGGGAGCACAGCCCAGTCCTGGTGTCTACTTCTCACCTTTCTACTTGCTGTGCAACTTCAGGTTACACAAGTGGCCCTTCCTTAGTGTTTGAATTCTAATCTAGAAAATGAGGAACTTATTCTTGATGTCTGTTTCTTCTTTCTCTGTTAAGATTTACTTTGATGATTGGCAATTAAGAATTACTTTGAAGTGCTACAAAAGGGTTTTTAATGGACTTCTTTTTCACACAGTGAAAACAAACAAATCAGCAACAATAACAAATGACCCACTGACTTGGAACCATGAATCTCATTGTACTGGGGATCAGGAACTAGGACATCACTTCAGGGGACACAAAGAAGCTCTGAGCATAGCATGAGGAGACAGGGGCTGAGTTCTATCTTCTGCCTCATGACCTTATATGTAAGCTTGACTTTTGGGTCTCCTAAGCAGAGTGCCCATATGGTGATGCTAGTTGTCAGCTCCACCCCTCTGGGAATTGCTGCACCCAAAAGCAAGATGTGACCTGCTCCCTGCAGTTGTATTTCATGGTATCCCTACCCTCGGTGTTCCCACTAAAGTGAACTCATTCTATTTGAGGTGAATGCTCTGTTTACTGATCTATATGATGTTTTTATGATGAATAAAAGCCTGTTTGCAGATTTTACATCCTGGTTGTAGCACTCCCTTTTCCTCTTACCCCATCGAGTCCCCCTTTCCTGAGCACTGTGGGGGCTGGTCCATTACTCCACATGATCAGTAAATGTGGTTGAAATCTGGCAGTGTTTTGGCTAGAATTCCTGCTCTAGGGATCCTGTCCAGCTTTTTCTAGGATGTTCTGCTGTTTCTGGGGCAAGGATATTAACTGGCATTGTCAATTTACAACAGAGAGAATTACCTCCTTGCCCACTGGGCACCTCCTCCAGTATGGCCACTTGCAAAGCTTCAGGTGCTCTATGGCAGATTGGTGTGGTAACTCATAGACCAGCTGCACCTTAAGCCAGAAAGGCAGGCTTTTTGCTCTGAGGAAAGGGACCTCTATGCAGATAGGTCACGGACTGCTCAGTGTCCTCTTGCACTTGTACCAAGTAAGACTTTAAAGGGTAAATTTTGTGTATGGTGTAGCATAGTTTGGAGCAACTGTGTCCTCTGTGTCCTCTTATTCATTGTGCACAGAGGCTGCAGCCCTGAAAGACATCTTGATAAGGAAAGCCACTTAAATGTCAAGTCCTCACAGCTTTTGATATGTTTTACATAAAATGTGCACTGAACTATCTAATCATGAATTTAAGGCCAAGTGCATCAGCATTGTTTCCTTCATTGGCACTTTGTGAATAAGTTGTCTGTTGGCTTGTGTGTGTGTGTGTGTGTGTGTGTGTGTGTGTGTGTGTGTGTGTACGTTCCTCCGAGTGGGTACATTGGTTCTAAGTAGAAGCACTTTCATTTGTAAGCAAACCCACATCCCTTACAGGTGACCCATTCCTCAAGAACAAATCCCCCTGTCAACGTGAACTGGAAAGAGTAATCAAGAGGGAGATGTTTTAGCCATCGCTCAAAGGATGGGTACTGACAAATGTACCCATTCAGGTACCCTCTGACCCCACAAATGGTGTCCTTCAGTGGGATAAACCTTTTGGAGCTACTTGGATTGGTGACCCTTACGTATTCTTTAAAGTCTTTGCTTCAATGCCAATTTTAAATGGATGAACATATGTCATTTTCATGAGGTGTATTCTCTCTTTGTGATGTGATGCATGCTGGCTTCTGGGACTCTGAGTGGGTCACATGTGACATACTGCTTGTGTGACAGGCATGCCGTGGAATTATGCATGCCGTAGTAATAGTGTCCTTGACAGCCTCAACAACCCTCTAGCCATTTGTGTGCCCACTTTACACATGAGGCAGCTGAAGCTCAAAGGGTTGTAATTTGCCAAAGGATACACAGTGGAGGTGGTAGGGCCGGTGTTTAAACCCAGGCCAGCTGCCTGGCACCACGCTCTACATCTGCTTCCATGACACTCTGTCTCAGCTATTCCTTCTTTTTCCTCAGAGAGTAATGGAGGATTTTTATTCTATTGTCTTTAACTTTTTCAAAGGTTTATCTCTTACGTGAGTGTATTTTGAGCATGGAATCCACACCATGGCTGCTTTGTTTTTTCTCATTAGAAGTGATACTTTCTATTACTATTCACTGTACTTGTCCTGCTGTGCATATCTGGAAAAAGGAAAATGTTACAATATTGTGAAAGAATGATTTTCCTGTAGACACTTCATGGGTACCTTACAACAATGTTCCTATGTCATTTACTGTTTTCATTTTTCAACCTGTGACTGAATAGGTTAGCAATGTACATAATGCTTGCTAGCCGTGCCTTCTCCCTTTTGCTGGCATGGATCAGAGACTGTCCTGCCTGGGATTCCCAGAAGCTTCTGGAGTCTATGTTTAAGTTTTAATGGCAGAGCTGTACATGCAATTTTACCACCCATGGTTTAGAAATTGAGAAAATCGCCCTGTATGACCTTTTAAATTTTTGTGTGCTTTTTCAGCTTTGTCTCTGTGAACATGCTGTTCCCCAATACATGAGGCTTGTAAAATGTAATTAAAGACAGCATCCATTAGATGGGGTGCAGCAACTTGTAAATCAAGAATCCAAGGTATAGGACTGAATGAGCATCCCGAAGGACAGCGTTTGCTTGGCTGCCGTGTTCAAGATAATGACTGACTAGCAGTGGCCTGACATTATAACTGTACTCAAGGATATGCTATTGCCATATGGCAAGATGACATTTAAGATAAGCGCAGTTCAGGAATGGTAGAAGTGCGTTTGTGTGTTAGCCTCAGAAGTGCTTTATCATCTTCCTGGATGGGTGTGAATGTGAAGTCTCCTTCAAAAAGCTGAGGCCATACTGGAAATGCAGACCTCCCCCATCAGCAGCTGAGGGCAGTTGTCTGTCCTGGGTCTCACATTAGCTGCTTTTTCTAGATTTATGGTTCTTGTGCTCATAGCACAGTTCTGTAGTTATGCTCTGGCTGTCATGGGTTCTCACCTGCTAAAAGGGATGTGACCATTTGCATAAATGTTGGTGTCTCTTCTAGTCTTAGGCTTTTGGTTCAGACATCTGGATGCTCTTTGTATGTCAATAATCTACTAGAATTTTCACTCATAGGTATGACCTGATACCAAATTAGTCTGTCAGGTTAATTCAGTTTCTTCTTCCTT